TGGGCTTTAGCACTGATACTGTCTTTATGAGTTCATGGGTTCAGAGTTCCGCAATTTCTCAGAATGATGGTTCAATACGTCGGTGGATCGGAAGCTTCATTTCGACAGGCATTCCTAAACCCAAACTATATAAACCACACCTCAGAAGACCCCTTGGGTTCGGCCGGGAAGCCACAGCGCCTTCGAACGACAGGCTTCTGCATCCTCTCCCACCACAAAAAAAAACAAGTTAATGCCAAGAGGATGCAAGTCAAGGGCGATATCCTAAGGAGACATGCCTTAGGGGAAACGTATGGAAACGTTACATGACCATACCCGAATCAGATACCGAAGCGACCAACACCCCCTGATAGAATCTTCCTTGCACTTTCAGGATCCCTCTGATCTGAGGATGCTTCCTTACGTAAGAGGCACTGGGCTCTCTGCATAGCTCTTCCACAACCGCAGTGCAGCTCGAAGGAACGGACCGCCCTCACCCAAGATAGCTAGGCCTAAACACAAAACTTCGGACCGCCCCAACCCAAGATGGCTAGGCCAAATTTAAACTCCAAACTTCCGACGTATAGCCCAAAACAGCGAGGGTTTCAGCTAGAGTGTCTTTCGCTCAGGCCAATCGTGGGTTGATGCCACGAGGCCGGGTCCGCCACATGACGTATATCATAATCCATCATGATACGCATTGGAAGTTGCAGAATACAAAACAGTGGCATCTTATAGTGCTTGATAGTATCTAATATATTGTAGTATCTTTGTTCTCGCGAGCTTCACAACTCCTCAGAACTCTTAACCTCTTTTCTGGCCCTGAGCGAATCAACCAGCAGATCCAGGAAAGTGTCCTGCTCGTTCCATGCCGCATCACCTTAGGGGATGAAGGGTTTAAGCTACAAGAAGGTTGAGGGTCTAGATCTGTCGGTCCAGAGGATTAGGATTGGAGCAATTTAGAGTCTTCTGGAGGGGGTTGGGGGGTGAGGTTTGATAGGTCCAGCCACCCACTCCGGGACTTTTGCATTTGCTTGCTAACTCCCAGCAGCCATCTCGAGATGAATGCTAAGCACGGAAGAACCAAGCCCTTGACCACAAAGCTGGAAACCGCAAATCTTCTTACATCAGAGGCCTTTAATGCTTTATGTCTCCATGCTTCGTGTTCTGTCCACGAGGCCGGGCGTAGGGCCTCAACAATCAGGATTTATCTTTCACGGCCTACGGGAGCGGTTACCGGTTCGGATCTAAGATGTAGGGTCAACGGCTCTTCAGGGTTGAAGTTTATTGTCTAGGACAGAATCATCTTTCAGAGTACAAAGTAGCACCTGCAACACCTCCAGACTTACCTTCGCTGGCTTCCATCGAGAACGAATTTGCAACCACGATGCATAACCAACAACCAGTGATAACCATTTCCCCCTATATTGAACGGACGCCCCCCCAGAAATAAACAAAACCGCAGGCCAGGGCCGAATCTGAATATTAGGGGTGGCTTCGGGCATTCGGGTATGGGTCAGTCAGAATATAGAGACACAGATCCCAAGCTCTGCTCGCCCGGTCGTTTCGGTTTAGTACTACTTTTTAGTCTTGGCCCTGATTACATTAAACGCATGCAGCCCTAGCTCCCCCCCTGCAGTAACATTTTCAACCAGCTTTCAATTGTGTGCCCGAAACCCAAAAAAATCTGGGGTCGGTGAAATTTAATGTCGGAGGTGGCTTTGATGTTAGGCGGAAGCGATTATTGCGCACTCAAGACCCGTCATCACTCTGAATCCTGCCCAGCGCACATGAACTGTACCAGGTGTCGGGTTGTCAGGGTCAGAGGGGTCGTGAAACCTACCCACAGCCTGACAACTTCAGCATGGATCGTTCAGGGTTTAAGGACAAGGGTTTCGGCTGAGCGTGTTAGGATCAGGAGAGAAGTTTGGTTGCCGTTCTGGGTTAGGCAGGAGGGGTTCTAGCCAGAGACGTTGAGGAGGCGAGCTTTGAGGGGCAACGTTACAGGCCGGTGGTTCTCTGCGCACCATCCGAAGAGCCATATTTCGATGCTAAGCTCCGTCCTTCCTAAAGAACACCTAGAAATGGAAGCACTGCCAAACCCCGATTCCATGAGGGCTTGCTAGCGATGATTTCTGTCATCTGAAACCCAAACCGCGAACCCTACACGTGAGCCCATGCAAAAAAGCAGCTGGCTGCCATCCCGGTGCAGGCAGGATCTTGGCTATCGAGCCGGCTGCGGCATGCACGGTGCGGCTTCAAGGTTCAGGGCTCCTGGGCTTTGTTTCTATTTAAGTTCCGAGGCTTTCTTGGGTTTATGCGGGACTCGCGGATCGATCTTGAATTGCATGTGAAAGGCTACAGCGCTTGGAGGGCCTAGGGTTCTCGGGTTTACTTACCCCGAACCTTAGACTGAACTGAAGCTCGACTGAAGCCACAGGATTCCCTTGACATGGGGTGAGAGGTCGGAGATTCTTGCTTTGGGATTTGGGCACGAGGGCGCGTCCGGGGGGGGGGCGCCCGGTTTTGGTTTGAGGGTTTCGGCTCTCACGGCTCGCACAAGGCAGGCAAGGACTCGCACACACGGCACTACGGGGACACACAAGCACACCTGCCAGCGCACCACGACAAACAATTGACCGTTGAAGCTCCCAAGAATCAGCTTGTGCATCAAGGGTGTGTGGCTTCTTGGGGCCTCAGGGTTGTAGGGTCGAGGGTAGGGTATTGTCGAAACGTAGTCCGCAGCATGTGTTCGGGTGCCCAGCGAGGTGTCTCCGAACTCTGTCCACAACTCCATCGAAGCGCAATCATGTCATTTCTTTCATGCGGCTCGACTCTGCCTAGTCTTCTCGAGCTGCTTAGTGGGTTGGATTTTTAGGGTTTGATAGGGTCCAGGACTGAAGCATAAACTGATGGAAACAAAACTATACCCAAGCAGTGGCATTCCAAACAGAAATGCAATCCCACGCATGTTCGCGGTTTTCAAGGTAACACTCGTCGATAAGCACTTTACGAACTGTATCTCGGGCCAGTGCTAGAAGCAGCCGATGGTTATGTGCTGAAAGACAGCTTGTTGTGAAATCCACGCCAACTTCGCCGAGTCTGCCCGCCAGCTCTTCGCAGGAGGCAGTTTCGGTTTTCGACTTGCCCCCCTTACGGATGCAGATCCTCCAGTTGGGACGGCGGCTATTTCGTAGGGGTGCCCTTTTGTGTTCATCTCCATGCACTGGTTACATCTTGTAGACTTGACTTTGGTCTCGTCGTAACTCTCGAAAGACCCATCTTGATGTCTGTGTTGTTGTTCCTATCGAACGTAACGTTTGAAAGTAGCACTTGCCACTTGCCACATCCTGGTTTCTCTGTGAGCCAAATGAAGCCTGAATACCTGTCTTTCTGGTTGTTTTGTGTCCGGTTGTGCTCGATTGCTGCTGTGGAAGCACAGCTACCGTGGTTATCGTCCCGTCATGTTATATGCCGCCACAATCGTGAACGGACCTCCGCTGTTCTAATTTTCGGATGTCACTTTGTTAGGGCCTAAATGCCACAGGTGCTGTCTGGCTTGTGCGCGGCATGCGGCGGAGGTCTTGTTCGGTATTGTCGGCAATGTGATTCTGCGACCTGGTCCTGGCCTAGGGCACCCGACTATTGCTGTTGCTTGTACTACTGGACTCATCACCATTGCGAACCAGGTCCTACGATCGGCGTCGTCGTCGTCGTCAGTATTAGAATCATCGTGATCTGCCTCTTCCAAATGATGATCATCATCACCAACATCGCTATCATATTCGGCGCAGCTTGCATTGCGGCTTTGCTGCTGCTGCTCCTTACGTATCCTTCTGAACCCTAAGCTCTACTGCCTACCCGAGGCTCAGCAGTTCAATGCCTGATCTCCCGCAACAGAGCCAGCGAGAGATGGCGAAACTAGGTTGGGGCTGCCGGCATGACCCAAGACCAAAACGGAAGCTCTCAATCAAAAGCCATACGCATCTGGGACTTCATGGTTTCGGAGCCAAAGCGTGTCTGTAATGGACAAACCCGATCATTGATTGTGCCGCGGGTCACGGAACATGTTGCAGATACAGATACAAATACAGAGGTGTAGTAGCACGAGTAACAGCAGCAGCAAGAGGAGTGGTGTAGTGATAGTTGTTGGTGGTGCTGTTGTAGTTGCACAAAATTGCAGTTGTTGTTGTGCTTGCTGCAGTTGTAGTTGCTGTCAGTAGTAGAAGTACAGTAGCAGTAGCAGCTACAGCAGCAGCGGCGGCAGCAGCAGCAGCAGCAGCAGTAGGAGCAGCAGGAGTAGCAGTAGGCTACAGTAGCAGCAGCATTAGTTGTAATAGTAGTCGTCGTCGCAGTAACAGTAGCAGCTGTTCTTGCTGCACTTGCAGTTGTAGAAGTTGTCGTGAGGATAATCTTAGAGAGCAGAAGGACCTCTTAGGTCTCGCAGAGAATAAAGACACATGTCCAAATTGAAGCTGCTCGTTTCAGGGCAAGTTTCTGGAGCAACATGACCAGCAAAACCATCATCTACGAGCTGATGAGCCGGCAGACTCTAAGCAATAGGCCGAACAAGAGTTCCTTGGCGCTTGTTCCGATGGGCTTATTGAGCCAGCAGCCCCAAGAAGAAACAATCGGACTTTTGCCCCACGGGACGCCAGGCCGACGTACAAGCCAACTCCGAAAAACAGTCTCTCCCTCTCAAGTCCGAGGGGAGCGTGTTTATGTTGCGAGTGTACGGTTTCAGACTTGGCATATGTGCTCCGTCCATCATAGAATATGAACACCATACCATATCATGTGTTCGAAATGGCAGTGTGGCGATTTGGGCGAGTTCTTGAAGCTGCCCCCACGATCGCATCCTGAACCCTAGGCCCTAGCCTGAACCTTCAAGCCCCGCTTAAAGCCAACAACTCCACAACATCACTCAAAAGGATCAACACTGCACACATAGAACCTAACATAAAGACACACACACACACACACACGCCACTATGATGCGAAGCCGTCTGTTTGAGGTGTCCTCACATCGACTGCGGACTTCCTTCGAAGTCGGAGACCGCCTGCATCAGCAAGGTACTCGTTTTCGATTGTTACCTTCATGACCATGGCATAGTCTGTGCTATACCACATGCAGATATTTACATATAATCTGTGTATGTATCTATGTAGGGAGGTACATAGGTAGTTAGTTAGTTAGTTAGTTCGTTAGTTAGTTAGTTAGTTACTTAGTTAGTTAGGTATGTATACGTATATTGCCAAGGAAATGAGACATGACAATCGTCATGACCTGATTGCATCAGGGGCGAAGGGCTCTGGAAGCTGCACCTGAATGGATAACTTCCGTTTCAACTGAAGCTGCCAAAACCAACTAGCCTTTGAACTTGAGAAACTTAACCTGGATCCCGATCCTGACCCGTCTGAACTAGACGCAAGAAAAGAAAGGCGAAGCCACGATTCTGCTCATCTCAGCTACGGATTTGGGGTTTAGGGTTCCGAACCTCCTGCTTAATGTCGGTTACGGGTCAGCAAAACTAGGTTAGGGGAGAGCTCTAAGCAAAGCTGCTGATGTCCTGTAAGTACAAATCAGGGTTTCGTCCCGCAAAGCTCCGTAACAATCCAGCAGCTGTGAGGATCAAGGGTGGAACCTCGTAAGATCTATATACCCAAGTTCTGACAAGCACGCCAACGACGGCAAATTTTCCTCGGCACGTCTGTCCTCATACTGTCGTAATTACGCGCCCTCGCGCCGCCATCCTTATCCCGGAGACATCGGCACAACGAACTGATGCCATGAACAACAAATAATGTCTCCAAACCCCCGATTGAACTACATGTGAAGACGCGGAAGCTCCGGATGGCTGCGGAACTGACCGAGTGGACGCGCTTTGGGCTTCCGAGCAACGGGTTTTAGATCTTAGTCTTCGTTGTGTTTGGCTGTGAGTTGTGAGCGAGCATTGTTCGTACCGGACTGGCGATGCTTCTATATGAATGAACTTAATTCGCTCGGAATGCGGCGCCTGTTAAGCAGGAATTCGGATGGGAGTATTGATGCTCTTTGCTCCGTTGGATTCCGTTGTGTCGCAAACCACCCTGGTGTGTGAGGTATGCTCGCTACGAGTATCGACAAAGGTGAGGGCGGTGGAAGCAAGCATTCCCCCCAAGAGGGCCCGGGTTGTCGTCTAGCAAACAGCAACATAGACAGGACCGCCCCCGAGAACGGTTTGGCGCGCAGCTGGGGTCTACAGGGTATGAGCGACTCATGGTTTTGGCGTAAATGAATGGAACCCGTTGCCCTGTGCTCACAAACACGCAGGGTGCTGGCAGGCGTCTTCCACACGTGCCAAATGCACTTTTGTCCAGTTGAGCAGCGACTGCCTTAACCAACTAACTAACAATGTGACCCAACATAAAACATGCATCCAGCAAAACCCGTTGAAGACTCTCAAAGCGTTTGACGACGCGTTCAAACTATTCGAAGCTTTGCCTGGGAGCCATTGCGGTCATCCGTTTTGAGTTGAGATCTCCGCTGCAGCACTAGCCACTGCGTGCAAAGTTTACGGACGCCGTAACTCTGTTCGACAGTTTGTGATAAACAAGTGCCCAAGACTTCAGGCTGTCCAAAAACAAACACATACGTGCAGATTCAGCTTGCTTGCACAGCATCCCAATGTTACTGAAATGTCGGGTCCTAGCACACTTACTCACCGAGTCGCTACCCAGTTCACTATCCACGGAGTGCACGATGGCACCGTCCCTGAAAGGAAGTCGTGGGTCGGTCACAGCACTGTATATAGTGTCCTTTACCATCACATCCTATGGATCCATAACTAATGCGGTATTGTGTCATCTACGGTAAATGCGTATATGAACACACATTCTGCTTCAACATGTACACCAACACATCAAGTGACAATTTCTTCTGCCCTATACACTTGAATGTTTCAAGACACGGACGACTTTGTATACATCTGTGAAAGCAATTGACCCAGTGACTTCCGAAAGCTTGCACTAGGTGCTGACTTCACGCACCTTTACTAATTGGCGCAACAAGATGAAGGATTGGACTGAAGCCAAAGCCGTAAGCACAAATCAACCCAGAAACAATGCACGCACCAAACTCCAAACTAAACTGAGACTTGGCTGACATTTAAACCATCAAACCTTTAGACCTCACGAGACTACGGCTTAAAACCATAGAATGCCTATGTAGAAGCGACCTTTGGGAATCAGGGAGTTTGGAGGGATCTCCAACCTAATTCCTCGGGGACTGTACAGTGTAGCACGTACAACTGTAAAAGGGAAAGGTTCAACTTTGTGTATGTCCAGCCTCCCAGGCTTCTCAGCTGAGAAGCGGTTTGACTGTGTGTCTCTCCGCTGGGCCCGTGGGAAGCAATTCCCAGGTGCAGAACAGTGTGGATTTGATTTAGGGTTGCCCAGTGTTTGCTCAAACATGCTCAAACAGTGCTCTGTAGGTCCCATGCGAATCACTACCCGACCTACCAGCAGCCGGATACGGTAACATCAAGGCTCTATGTCACCCCGCAATCGAACAGTCGACGGCCTGGCCGTTGGAAAGACGACTCTATGCCCTCGTCGGCTTTGGCCTACACACCGGGTTGTTGCCGACCTGCCCTACTGTAGGCGGGTTTGGGATATGCCTTATAAAAGAACAACAATAATAACCACCACGGTACAGTAATACTACAAGTATACCCAGACTTCAAGGGAATACCCGCAAAAACGCCAAATGCTAGAATCTAAGCTCGAAGCGATCGGCAAGAACAAATGACCTTGAACCATAAGCCCTATAGACTGGGGCCTAGTACATCGAACATGGCTCGGGAATCGGTAAGGTATGGCAGCAGACCAAAGTGTTTTAGGAACTATCACGGAGTCCGATATACCATTACGAAGTATTGGGACCCCTAATAAGAGGCTCAGAAGCTGCAAGGGAGGCAAAAGCCCTTCTTGAGCGCACTGTCTCCAGCGGACAAGCCCTGCATAACCCAGTTTCACTGTAGGACTACATCCCTCTGAAGGCTGATAAAAAATACCCAGGTGTGTCAAGTTCGAAAAGCGCTTTCATCCAAGCTGTCTGCTCGGGCCCTGACACCTCTTAAACCGGGTCGCTGGCACACAGCACCGCGCGAAGATCTTTCCTCACTTTCGCCCTGAGCCCTGTTCGTAGTCTCCAAAGCTGAAGTAGACCGTACAGCACTACAGCCCGGGATGCCTGCACCAGGAATTCCGTTTGGCAGTTTGGGGGTGCCGGTTCGAGTGGTTGCACTGCATGCTTTTCTCTCTCTCTCGCTCTCCTCTCTCTCTCTCTCTCTCTCTCTCTCTCTCTCTCTCTCTCTCTCTAGCTATCTTTCTCTTTCTTCCTTTCTCCTTTTCAGAGCTCGCGCAGGGCTCTTTTAGCCGTACGGTTCGTTCTCCCTGCTCTCTTTCTGTCCCTGTCGTTCCAGTTGCCTACGCACAGCCGTCGCTGGAGTCTGCCTATGGTGGCTCTTCTCCGATGGGCCATCTCAAAACATGAGTAGTGAGTAGTCTCGAGAGTGCCCCCGATCGTCTGTCTTCCTTGTCCATGTCTGTCTTTCTTCCTCGTTTCATGGAACCCTCAACCCTAGCAGCATGTTTTACCTCCTGGCCCCTCTTTGAAGGACAAGATGGTGCACGAGAGCCACGCGGTTCAAAAAGGATTGCGGCCCCGGGTTTAGACCTTGACGGGTTGATTGTATGCAGGGTTCGTCGAGTGGCTTTTGCCGGGGTGATGGCTGCAAGCTTCCGGATATCTAGCTTTGTCGAGGTGGGGGGGGGGCCTAGGCTGAGTCGAAGATGAAGTTTCCCAACCGGGCTTAGCTACTAGCAGTTCATTCCCGTGCAAAGGAGCCGTTGTACTTTCCAGCACTGAACCCCAAACTCCAAATCCTTAACCCTACAGGGTCAGGGTATCCGGGCCTGTAGACCCTGAAAGCGACAGGCCAGCAGCTGCGAAACTGTCCCTGACTTGTGTCAGGGTCGGAAGATTCCCGGCTGCTCAGGCGCCTAAACCATGCCGTAATGCGCAAGCCCCAGCGTAGGCCTTTAGGGTCTAGAGATACATGTATGTGTACGTCCAATTACCTACATACACGCATACGTTTTTGTCAGACTCAAAAATCAAGACAGCAGCTCGGTGTCGGATTGTGCCGGCCGGAACACGACAGCTTTTCAGTCTGAGCAGATCACGAACCCCCGAAGACCCTCGGCCACACCTGAAACCATGAACCCTCGTAAGGCGCATATAACCCTAAATCCGGAGTACGGCTGAGGACTCCGAGGTGTCAAGCTAAGGCTCATGACTCCAAGATTGTGTGCTTTATCTAGGGCCCACGGGGTTCAGGGTTGAAGGTTCATTCCGGGGTTTCGGAATTTACGGCTGATGAACTTAAGAAGGTGCGTTCAGGGTTTAGAGATACAGGGCTTAATGATGGGGGTCTAGGTCTTTGGCAGCACCGGGCAAGTGCCGCTGGGCGTGAGTCGCTTTTCGCCTCACGCGATGTCGGCCCAGAATAGGTCGGACTTGAAGTAGATCTTGTGGCAAGCCTGCCAATTTAGGGTCTTGGGGTCAAGGCTGTTTAGGGCGATTTATGGTTTGGGGCGCTCGTTGGTTGTAAGAGGGACAAGACATTCCACAAACGCAAATGCATCGATAGAAATCTGGACGTACTCACTACGGGGTTTTGTTCTGATAATGCCTGGAGTTCTTACCTTTGGCATCCGCGCCTCTGCAACTGCCAGGTAATTCACAGATGACAACTGCCACTCTCCGCAACAGAAAAGTGCTCGTGGCTCAACTAACGAGGAAGCATCTTTAAGCACTTAATCCATCCAGTTCATCCACGCATGATGTGAAACCTTCGAAGCCAAAAATCCGGCAGCTCCTTGAACCAACACCCTAAAACAAAAGGCTAAACTCCAAGCTTCTCCACCAAAAACCTACTAAACCAACCCTCGCTACCAAAACAAGAACTAAAACTCGCAGGATCCACGCCAGGAGTCGGCTACTCTGCTTGCACAT